GTTTTGTATTGGGATCGAGAGAGGCCGGCCACTGCTACTGTCATGCAATCGTGAATGCCCGTGATCAGTGAGAACTCGCGAACCACCTAGGCGCCCGGTTCAAATCATAGACCTTCCCGACCAGCGGGGGGAGGTGGCCGCAAGTGATTCATTAACAGCTACGCCCATCTGCCATCGATAGATTTGTGGATCTCGAATAAATGCGAAGGTTCGCGTTCCAGGTCTTTGCACGAGTAAAGGAGAAGGCTGGTCGCGCACCGGTACAGTTTTTAAAAATTGTTTTGAGCTTTCAGACTCGTACAGGAGCTCCTCATCAGAAGTTATGGCAACAACAAAAAGGGGAGGGGGTACAATTATGGAAAGTGCATTTAAATCAACTATCAGTGACGCACGTCTGGAGGTGACTGCGCGACAAATCGATACATAGATTGTTTGAGTTCCCATCCGTGGACGATACTTCAATAAATTCTTGACTGGTCTTGTTTCCGGCGTGGGTGAGCACCTTGACGGCTGCGAAGTTGACCCATCTCGTAGGTGCGGGCAGCAACTTGCGATCTGATATATTTGCGCGCCGCTAACCGATGGGTAGTCAGTGCTTCGGTCATGCATAGTGTTCACTGGAAGCATTTTCCCCAGTATGCATTAAAAGGAACAGGCATTTAAAACGGGATATTCTGGAACCAGCAAATCTGATAACGGCCTACCAATATCAACCCGTCGCTGTATAACACAGTTAACGAAGCCTACAGCAAGTTGAAGGTGCAGAGAAAATAAAGGCACAACAGCAAGGTCAGTGCCGACACAAACGAAAATGCGATTCCCAGGGAGCACAGTGCGGCCGGTCCAAATTTGCGAAAGATTGACAATCACTCGCAAACCGGCATGAACGCATGTACGACAACTTTACAATAATAGTGAACAACCTCAAGTGAATTAATAACACTTAGAGAAATATAAAATTTACTAATTTACTAATTGTTGGTTTAGAACTACAATCTTTTTAAAGAAGCCTCAAGTTCCGAAAACGTGGAAAATAGTTATAAATTTGACTAATAATTTTTGCAAATATAATCGTCATGTGAAATCGCAACCATGCAATTTCCTTTATTTTAAAGGACTTTTCTTTCGTAAAATTTATTTGTAGGTATTTCAGGTACCGGATTACAGTTAGTTTCAGATAGTCCTTTAAATTTCGGCAATTTTTATATTTTTTCCGCGTTTTCAAGCTTTCCTCAATATATGTAGCTTCTGTTTGAGGTGTATATCAAAATCTTAAAAAAAAGATATTTACTAAAAGTATTTAACAACATCGTGCATTTTAGGATATTAGTAGGATATTTTCGGCGGCTTTAATACATACGCTGTCAACAGGTCGATAAATGAGATGAACACAACTTCATATATATCCTTTTCGAAGTAGACAACCAGTCGCCGGCTGAATGACTATATTCCAAGCAAATGAAGACGATGAACATACTGCCGACAGTAAGATTTCCGAAGTCGATAACAAAACACAGAAGTCTACAGTAACATTAATTCCTTAAACCGTGTAATACCAGCCATTTAAGCATTCATTTCAGGGAGAGGGCTAGTATATTCCAGTTCTGCCATTTACATTTTATGTTGTTGAGAAAATCCGGTATCCTTAAGGCTGTTTGGAAAACAGATAGGGCAAAAGTAGCTTATGTAGGCCCACTCATATACCCCTAGTCCCAGCATTTTGTCCCGAAAAAACGGTGGTTGTAGAGTTTTGGGGGGTGGGGAAATAGAATAGGCAGAGAAGGAATTTTTTAGAAGTAAGTGTAAAGTGAAAAAAATTTAGTCGAAATTGCTTCCCGCGGCCGCTGGGAGTAAGTTGTTCCGCATGAAATTTGAAGGCGGACTATACTAATCTAACTCTAGAATGGTAAGTTGGACCTCAGATAAGTTGAACTCGACGACCTCCTAACCACCACTTCAATCTTTCGGAAAATTCAAGAAACCTGCAATTTGATAATCGGGTTTTTCCGCAATAAGTTAAATGTTGTAAGTTAAAGTAGGCGACCTCCTAACCACCATTTCAATTTTTCGGGAAATTCAGGAAGTAGACGACCTCCTAACCACCATTTCAATTTTTCGGGAAATTCAAGAAGACAATTTGATAATCGGGTTTTTCCGCAATAAGTTAAACGATAATACAGATTAAGAAAATCTACAGATATAAATCAACAACAACCCTAAATACACTAAAATAAAAATTCATTTAGCATTTATTAAAGTATATTCCACTGCGTGTCATAATTCCCCATCCATAAAACCCGATAACCACCGTTTTCGTAGGAAAAAATGCAGGTTGTAGGGATTAATGAGTGATAACCACCGTTTTCGTAGGAAAACATGCAGGGAGTAGGGATTAATGAGTGGACCTACATAAACTACTGTTGCCACAGATAGAAATGAAAAGTTGCTTACGGGAAAACTGTGATAGTCTTCAGCGTGTCCTCTGTCTAGTTTGTTAAGTACCAATGTTATTTTTTCGATAGCAGTGATAGGACCGCATTAGCAGAGTTTATCGCGAGGTGTCGGCCTTATCCTGACTGATTATTTCCACACTCGCGTCTGGATTGCTTTTCGCCTCGTGATTGGTGCAATTACGGTGGTTTTGGTGGTGACTCCAATCATCATGACAAAAATGGATAGATGAACATACTAGGTAAACCCAGCCGTTTGAACTGCAAGCTGGTTAATATCTAAGTTCAGGAGATAGTTGCCTTGTCCCAAAATTCAACCTACTTTTGTTTGTAAAGGGGGCAGGAGGGGAGGCTGTCTGAATGTAGCTGCAGCTTCTTAAAGTTGTAGATGGGGGCTAGATGAAACAAATAGGACGTGTTTTGAACCGACTAACATTCCACAGGGGGGCCTGCTTTTGCCGGTAGTACCTGCTGATTTCTGGGAGCTAATAATTTGTCGAAGGGCTGAAACCATACCGATAAATTCCATGTCTTTATTAGAAATACTCATCAAGTTTTGATTGCTTGTTTCTATGCTCCGTCCAGGAGCGCAATAGACGGCAGCTGTAAGACACTTGCAAGGCTGTAAGGTACGCCTTTGGCCTGTTCCAAAACCAGACTGGGCTGATGAGCGTACTTATGGGTGAAATTCTTTTTCTACTTCTTATTTTTCTGGCTAATAGCGGATAAAATTCAGAAAGGTTCCCCCTCCCTCCCTCTCCTCCCTTCCTCACAAAGTCGTTTCTCTGTTTCAAGGTCTACTGGACAACATATCTACCGTATATAGGTGCCTGCGATCCACCACACACATTTATCCAACCCACAGGCCCCACTAGACAATAACTGCTGGTTTAAGCCATCATTAAATCACTTTCATACTCCCTAAAGAGACTGCGCGGTAGGTGCGCTGGACCGAGATGGGGGCCGGATCAGGGTATGACAGGCGTTATTCGGGTTGCGCC